GCGGCCCCGGCCGCGCGACGCGCCGGGGCGGGAGCGGGCGACCCTCCCCCTCCTCCTCCTCCTCCTCCTCCCTCCTCCTCCCTCCTCCTCCTCCTCCTCCTCCTCCTCCTCCTCCTCCTCCTCCTCTCTCCTCCTCCCCCTCCTCTCTGCCCCTCCTCCCTCCTCCTCCTCCTCCTCCTCCTCCTCCTCCTCCTCCTCCTCCTCTGCGAGGTAGCCAACCCTGGACCCCCACCACCACTCTGAGTCGACATGGAGCCGTCATTTCTGACCCCCTGGTCTTGCTTGCTGCTGAGGCTAGTAAATTCAGTAAGCGGTGGGATGCCTCGAACACTCCCCCCAAGTGGACCCCAAGTTCCAGTTTGTGGATCCCCTCCCCAGGCTCACTGCTGACGAGCTGCGCTCTGCTTCCAGGCGTTATTCGTCTAGGTCTGCCACGGCGGTCGATGGATTCCACATGAAGCATTACGCTTCATTGTCAGACGGGGCCCTCGGTGTCCTGGGGACCCTGTTCTCGGCCATGGAGTCTTCTGGGCTTTTGACTGGGCAGGTGTCCCTGGTGGTCCTTTCCCTGCTTAACAAACCTTCTGGTGGTTTCGGGCCAATCGGCCTGCTCTGCAGTTCCTATCGCCTCTGGGGGCGATGCCGACGGAGGTTTGCCGTCCAGTGGGAAAGCGATTTCCAACGCAGCTACTTTGCGGGTTCCCAGGTTTCGTCTGCTGTCGATGTGGTTTGGAGGCAATCTTTACGCGCTGAAGGAGATGTGTCCAAGAAAGAAGCCAGTTGTACGCTGTTATGGAACCTTTTACAAATTCTTTGAGCTTGTCAACCTCTCGACCCTCCTTCAGCGCTGCCACCAGTTTCGTTTGCCTGTGCAGCTGGCTAGGCTCGCTGTGCAAGGGTATCGGCACGGCAGGTATATTTCGCTCTCAGGAACGGTGGTCGGAGCCTTTTGCGTCAACGACGGCGTCGTCGCGGAGTGTGGCTTCGCGACCACCATGGTGCGCATCATTGCAGTGCCAACGCTCGATGCCCTGCAGCTCCCTCCAGGCATCACGCTAGACGTTTACATCGATGACTGCGGTCTCAGCTGCGTCGGCACATGCACCGACATAGTCAGCCACCTCCCTGAGGCAGCAGCGAACCTCAGGGCGGCCATCGAGGACGACATGGGTGGTGTGATCTCGGTTGATAGAGCTGCCCTCGTCGCCTCGTCGGATGCGCTTGCTAATCTTGGTCAGAGATCGTTTAGGAGGCCTTGCTGGGCCCGTGGTTCCCTCGGCTGTGAACGAACCTTGGGATCGATTTTGCTCCTGGTTTCTCACGTCGTGCCCCTGGTTTCTCACGTCGTGCCCTTGGTCGAGGCCGAAAGTTTGGTGACCGCAAGCGTGCATTAAACAAAAAGCGCCAAAGGATCAAAAGGGCCAAAAGGCCTCTCGGGAGGCATGCTTCTAAGGTTTTCACCGCTGGCCATCTCCCCAGTCTCACTTTTGGAGCTGAAATTCACGGTCCTTTCAACTACGAATGGGAAAGACTGCAGGTCGCTGCTGCCAGCACGACGCAGCCCTCTGCCAAGATGAGGTCGGGGACCTTTCTGCTCATGCTCTCAGGACCCTACTTGGTACCCTGCCGTGGCGCCTATCGTGCGCTACCGAAGAAATATGGGCGAACCAAACCAAGCTGTTCCCCTTTGTTACCCCTTGGGGTGAATTGCGGCAAATGTGGTCTACGGTTTTTCGCTCCCCTGGGCCCAACACTTGGCGGGGTGTGACGGGCCCCTTGGGGGCCATGAAGTTGGCCATCAGTCGTCTCTCGTGGGCCATGCCCGATCACTGCGCCCTCCTGGATGATTTTGGAACCGACGTGTTCCTCGCGGTCACTTCCCCCGCCCTTCTAAAGAGGCTGTTGGAGGCTGCGGTTCAGAGGACCCACGAGCGTGCTAGTGGTGCTGCCCTTCTTCCTCACTCGCTCAGAGCGCGAGTTTGCCGTGCTGTTGTTGCTGCCGCTTCGCGTTCCAGTAAAGGCACACCCTTGCAGCGAGGACGTGCGAAGGCCGTCGCGTGCAATGCCATTTGGGCCAGGACCAGGACAACATAAGCATGTTATGATGCCGACACGTGTTGTGAGCTATGCCCGGTTGGTCCAGATAGTGCGTTGCACCGCTTGTGGTTTGTCTTGCGTGCCATGACCAGCGGGAAGAGGTGTTCAGCAGTTTCAAGCAGGAATCCAGGCCCCCCCTTCCCGACCTGTCGGCTGACACCAACGAGGAGGATTTCCTGTTGTATACCAGGGGTCTCTTTCGGCACCCAGGAGATGTTTCCCGTTTCCAGCTCGTGACGACGTCGAAGACATTGGCCTGGAGATTCTATGGGCCAGTGATCGAAATTGTAAATCTCTGGACAGATCTGGACATAGTTTTGTCGATGGGTCGTGTGCTACCCGTACGATCAAAGAGCTCTCCAGGGCTGTGTGGGGGATCGTGGTTGTAGGGGATGGCGGTGTTGAAGTTTGCCGCATCGGCTGTCCCCTGTGGGCCCCTGACCTCCAAACGACCCAAGGCGGGGAATTCGGAGCCTATGTTGTTGCTGCTATGCATGCCGCGTCTGGTAACTCAATGTGATCTGGCTGCAAGAATGCGGCCGCCAAGGCGAACGAGCCCCCCCTGCGTTCCCTGTCATGCCAGCGGGTGCATTCGGGTTTTTTACTCCCTGCCCATAGGAAGCTTGTTGACGGATGATAGCCCATGTCGAGGAATCTCAGGACCTCACGCAACTGGAAGCTAGGGAATGAATTAGCCAACAGTGTTGCCACACAATTCGCTAGCTAGACGCCTTCAGCCCGACCATGCTGACGTAGAGTGGCTGGAAAGGTGCATACGCGTTACCAAGTGTGTCCTGCGTCTGGCAGCTGAACTGATGCCAGAGTGGGCGAGGCTTAACTTGAGAGACGCCAAGCTAGTTCGCAAGCCTCCTCGGCCCAAGGTTGTTCCTCCTCCGTATCAGTGGACGCGTGTCTCTTCTTTGTTGACATTTTTTTGAACGCCTCCGTGTTCCTAAAGGTGTGCCGCGCCAGGGGCCCGACGGGAAGTCGCTCGGATGTCTGGGCCCGCCAGTGCCAGGGGCGTGCTCCAGAGATCCCAAGCTTGACGCCGCCATCCTTGCGGGCTTGCGGCACAATTGGATTGCGCTGTTTTGTTCGGACGGTGGTGCCCTTTCTGTATGTTTGAGGTCAACAGCCAACTCATCGCATGGTCAGCCGCGCAATCTTCTCATGCAGTGCGACGGTGCGCCACGGAGTGCAGGTGCCAAGGTTGCCTGGAAAGCTGTTGGGGAAAACGCTCAGGCATTGCTGTAGGGGTGGGGCCCTGTCATGGCGCTGGCGAAGGCCTACCTGCGGAGATTCCCCGCCGCCTGTCTGAGTACGAAAAGGAGCTGCGCACTGCCAAGGTGGCGCGGCTTCTTTTGCGTGCTGCAGGAGGGCAGCCTGGCTCCCCTGATAGAGAGGAGCTAGAGAGCGAGCCCCTTGTGAGCAAGGGCCAGGGCCAGCAGCCTGATCTAGCCGTCGACCCGTCGTACATGTCGTCGTCTTCCAACTTCGCTGCTGCTGAGCCCTGGCCCCGTCCTCTGGACCCCTTTGGCGCAGACGAGGAAGCTGCCCAGGTCCTTTTTGGCCCGCCCAAGACGGGAGAGCTGCCATGGCCCCAGCATGTGCCACGTGCCAGGCCGAGGACGGCTGGGCTGGTCTACTACAGGGCGACCTTCACCCTCCAGGAGGACGAGACGCCACTGGTTGCGACACCCGTGCCGCCGTCTGATGATTCAGAGTAACATCAGAGATGCAGTCCTTGCCCCTGGCATGCACTGCCTCTCAAACCCTGACCTCACTTCTATTCTGGTCTTGGGCTCAGGGGGGGCGGGCCGTCAGCCACAGGGGATCCTCCCCTCGGGGGTATCGCCCCGTGGCTTTCGCGCCTGCCCTCCTCTTGATCTTTTACTGCTCGCTGGACTGCCTTCCTCCTGTCCAGTGAGCAAGAGGCGACGCCCGCCCGCGGCCGTCGCCTGGATTCGCCACGGTTGACCACGGTTGATGTCAAGAAATCCTCCTCCTCCTCCTCCTCGTCCTCCTCCTCCTCCTCCTCCTCTTTCTCCTCCTCCTCCTCCTCCTCCTCTTCCTCCTCCTCCTCCTCCCAGTCTACTCCTCCCTCCCCCCGGTTTCCTCCTCCCCGCCGTGCGTTCCCTTCGTCCCTTCCGCTCCTCCCTCCTGCCTCCTTCCGCTCCTCTTCCTCCCCCTCCTCGTGCTCCTCCCCCTTCTTCTCCTCTTCTGGGCCCTGCGGGCGGGTCTGGAGGCTTGTGCGCGCGCCGTGGGACGCATCATGGGACTCCAGAATCTACCCAGGCCGCCCAAAAGCCTATGCAAAAGTGGCCGGAAAGGGCCCGCATGCGAAAGCGACAGTTCGAAAAAGAGCCGCGTTCTTTTTTTGAAGATGTTGCATCATCTTAAGACGAACGTGCGTAGCGCTTGGACGAGAGCGCCATTGTTTGAAAAGGGCCCCCCGTTCATGCAGGAAACGATTGCAAATGTTTAAGTTGAGTGTGCGGGGCGTTAGGGCGAGAACCACATGTTGTAAGTCCCCCCCTCCATCCGTGAAGCGGATGCAACATTTTCAGACGAATGTGCGCGGCGTTGAGGCGCAAGCCACATGTTTCCCCAGTTTGGCCTTGTCTCAGGGGTTCTTTTCGGTTTGTGAAAATCCAGTGGATGCCAGACGCTTGCCCGGGACTCTTATTCTTCGGGGAATTCCTGGTGTTTTTTGGTTTTGTTCCCTGACAGGCCTTACCCGGGTTTCTTGGTCTTGGTTGCTTGGTTCTTTGGTCTCGGTTCCCGTGGTTCATTGGTTTTGTCTTTTGATTGTTTTTGCAGGGGCCTTCCTCGGGTTCCTTGGGTTCCTTAGTCTTGTTCCCTGTACGCGTATCGAACGGGCTTTCCTAATAAGGGTTCCCCGG